ATTCAATAACTTTCCTTTAAAATTTTTTTCTGTTTCTTCTACCTGACAGGGAGACTCTGTCTCAAAAACAACAACAACAACAAAAAAAAAAAACACACAAAAAAAGAATATACTGTTTCATACAGAAAAACTCATTTTTAATGCAAATAACACTTAGATGTTTGTACATGTGTCTCTAATCTCTGGATATCTGATTATTACTAGTCACAGTCGGTTATTTTCTGGGATCCTTGGCACCTGAGCATGGCTATAAATTCATCAGGTAGATTTCAATGGTAATGTTTTTCATATCTACTAATTAACTGGAACAAATTTTTATGCTTCTTCCTTAAATATAATCCATCTTTTTAAGATTTTTTATGCATATGCATGTATTGTCTGCATGTAGGTAAGTGCATCTGTGTCGGGCAATGCCCATGGAGAACAGAAGAGACTGTCGGGTCCCCTGGAACTGGAGTTACAGACAGTTGTCAGCTGCCATGTGGGTGCTGGGATTCGAACCTGGATCTTCTTCAAGAACAGTCAGTGTTCTTAACCGCTGAGTCATCTCTACAGCCCCCAAAAAACATTTTTTTATAGAGGAAATATTTTAGCACATATTTAAAAATAGAGGAGGGCTGGGAGATGGCCCTGTGGCTGCAGCACTTGCTTTATAATAATGAAGAACTGAGTTTGAATCCCCAGAACCCATATAAAGCTTGCAGACCAGTTAGCCTGGAGTACATAGTGATGGACAAGAGACCCTTGGAGGAGGGTCACCTTGGAAGAGCACCTCCCACCTCAAACAAGGTAGAAGGTGAGGACACCTGAGGTTGTCTTCTGACCTCTATATGCACACTGTAGCATGCACATGTTCTCTCTCTCTCTCTCTCTCTCTCTCACACACACACACACACACACACACACACACACACATAAAAGAGGGGAATGGCAATAGTACAAATAAAATTTCTAAACAATATTAGGTATTAGGGAAACACAGAATAGTATCACAGTGAAGTATCTGTATACACCTTTAAAAGGAAAGATAGACCGAGCACAGTAAGGGCTGGTGAGTACACTGACGAAATGAAACTCTCATAACACTGCTGGTCAGTAGGCAAAAAGAGAAATATGCACCCAGCCTTTGTCTGAGGGGACATCTTATAAAGCTTGCTAAGAAAGAAAAATCCTTCTCTAGGAAGACCAAGGGGGAACAGGAACACATCCCTCACATGCAAACCAACAACTCCTAAGTGTACTGACCTATCTCTAAGTCTTAACATGTAAGTTAGCCTTTTTCCCAAACAAACAATTTCTTCATTGCTGCAACAAAACACTCTGACCACTACCAACTTGGGGAGGAACTCAGGGCAGGAACCTGGAGGCAGGAGCTGGAGCACAGGCCATGGAGGAACGCTGCTTACTGGCTTGCTCTCTTGGCCCCTGCTCAGCCTGCTTTCTTATGCAACACAGGCCCACCTGCCCAGGGGTGGCACCACCCACAGTGGGCTGGGCCCTCCCACAGCACTCATCAAGAAGATGCTCCTCAGACATGGCCACAGGCCAGTCCAATAGAGGAAATTCCTCAACTGAGGCTCCCTCAGCCCAGGTGTGTCAAGTTGACACTAAAGCTATCCAGCACAATATCCCAAGCCAGGTACCACTATAATCCAAAACCTGCCGGGATTATCCATACCAGCCAATCCTAAACTATTTACTCTGCCTGTGGAATCCCCAGTGAATAAAAGGCCTCCCACTTGGACATTTCTGCCTCCTGATCAACCCTGGTCTCTCACATGTGGCTGTGTGCAGCACATTGTGCACTCCTTCTCAAGACACATAAATATTAAATTCTTTCAGTATCATTGATCTGTTTGTGTCCTCAGTCATTTCTATGAAGTAAAAATCCCATGAGTAGAAATGAGCCCTTTGACTCCTATTAACCTAAAGGGAAAAGTAGTGGTGGATGTTCATAGCAGCTTTATTTCCCAAACCAGAAGTGATCTAAATGTCCCTTAACAGATGAATAGACATACTGTGGACTAATGATATAAGAGAATACTGGCTTATAACAAAACAATCAAGTACTCAAATTCTAATGAAGAGCTCTTTATGATTGCATGAAGGAAAAAAGACACTTCATTTACATAAACATCTAGAAAAGGAAAACAAATCTATAGCCAAAGTAAATCAATGGTTGCAGAAATGGGCAGTTAGGAAAAGAGAGTGACAGATGAAATGGATAGATGAATCGGGTCAATTGGGAGAAAGCACCAGGACACAGATAAAAACTCCAGTGGGACAGAGTTTATTAGCAAAGGAAACTTCGCATGGGACAAATTCCCTTCAGGGTAGGGAAAATGTCAGCCCACGGGGTCGTGGGCTGCGGTCTTTATAGGGGGCTTTGGGAGATGCAGAAGGCGTGAACATATTCTTTAAAATTAGGCAGGGGGAAGCAGGAGAGCGGGAGCCCAGGGCTTATCAGAACAGCTTCTGTTAAAAACCACCCCCTTCCATCCATCAGCCAGGATCTGGGTCAAGAGATGTCTGTTTACCCTTTAAGATCATCAAAGAGAAAACCTGTTGTGCCGAAGCAACTCCTTGGGTCTCTGGTCAAAAGGTGGAATCTGTTAATCAAAGGGAAAGCCTGCTGCTTTTGGCCAAAAGGTGCAGAAAAAGCTGCTTCTCTTGACTTCAAAGACCAGGGTGCTCATCAACTCCTGCATCCTCAGGGGCCTGCAAACCCTGAGACCCTGCCGCATTGGGGAGGGAGTTGCTGTAGGTCTGAACTCTAACAGAGAGAAAGACTAATAATGGGAAGGAATGTTATGGGTGATGAATACATCGTCAGGATTGCAGTGATGATTTCATGGGTTTATACATTAGCTAAAACCTACATTTCATACTTAGGACACATCAGTTCTACCCCAACAGAGCTTAAAAGAAATAGTTCAATATAAAAGTCGGCTTCTCTGGAAAATTAGGAAGTTTGGCAAACTCAAACAGGTTCCACCTTAATTATCCTCACCCTTTGGAAGACATGGAAATACTTCAAAGGGAGCAAAGCATTTTGGGCAATAAAAGATGATTTTGAATTCCAAGTCACATGCTTGGATTATCATGTCTTTCCTCTTCTAGTTACACTTTCTTGTCTGTGTAGCTCTGATAACCTAGAAACATTAGAATATTTGCTAAGATAGCAACATCTACAGAGAAACAACCAGCGAAGTCCTAAAACTACCTGTATATGCTCATGTCTCACAGCTAGAGTGAACAGAGCATTTCCAGAAGCACACCTAGATGGTGACTCTCTTGTATTTGCCAACCCCAGTTCTATAACCACATCCAATGTGTGGATCTACTTATAGCAAAGTCTGAGGATTTCATATTCTGCATGACTGCCTTCAGGAAAATAAGCAGGAGATAGTAAACATGTCAGGCTTCTCTGAGCATGGTGCAACCTGATGCATGCTGGCTGCTAGAAGTGAGATGGCTTCAGCCACAGATACTGAGAGTGATGCAACTCAGGCAAGGGTCTCAGGCAGATCACAAAGTGCAATCAAGCACCTCATATACCTGTCACCCACAGGGAATGTGTCCAGATGGGACAGTTAACTTGAGGTCCATGGCTACTTCACAAAGGCCACACTCAGGTGTCATTACGTTGACCTAGCAGGTAACATGCTCCCTGCACTCCAAGGCTTCAAAGTCAGCTTCCTGGCCGCAAAGGAAGGAAAGCCATTGTATTAAGGTTTCCTCCAGTGTGATTCCATGGGTGTTTAAGGAGGCTGGATTTGTGGGTGAAGAATTTTGCACATTCACTGCACTCATAAGGTTTTTCTCCGTATGGAGTCTCTGGTGTTGAACAAGTGTTAATTTAAGGCTAAAGTTTTTTCCACATTCACTGCATTTATAAGGTCTTTCTCCAGTGTGAACTCTCTGGTGCAAGTTGAGGGTGGACCTTTGGCTAAAACATTTCCCACAGTGAACACACTCATATGGTCTTTCTCTGGTGAAATAAGGTCAGAGCTTTGGCTGAAGAACTTTCCACGCTCTGCACACTAAAGTCTTTCTCCAGTGTGGATTCTCTGATGCCGAGCAAGTGTGTTTTTATAGCTAAAGAATTTTTCACATACACCACACTTAAAAGGTTTTGAGCCCGTGTGAATTTTCCGATGTTGAATAAGGCCATAGCTTTGTTGAAAGGATTTCCCACATTCACTGCATTCATAAGGACTTGCATTACTGTGGATTTTATGGTACTCAACAAGTCTGCACTTCCTGCTAAAGGCTTTCCCACATTCAGTACCTTCATAAAGTCTTAGTGTGAACTCTCTGATGTTGAAGAAGTCTGTGTTTGTGGCTGAAGGCTTTCCCACATTCGTTGCATTTATAAGGCCCTGGTGTAATGTGAACTTTGTGGTGTATAGTAAGGTCAGAATAACGGTTAAAGCATTTCCCACCATCACTGCACTCATTAGCACTCACCTCACTGTGAGCTGAGCTCTCTGACGTACAAGGCCGGAGTTATAACTAAACAATTTGCCACACTTGCTGTACCCATAAGACTTCTTTCCATTGTGGACTCCCTCACGCTGAAGAAGTGTCTCCTGTCATGGGCTTTCCCATAACTGCTACAGGCGTAGGGTCTTTCCCCAGAGTGAAATTGTTCAAGAAAGTATCTTCTGCTGAAGGTTTCCCCACACTCATTACACGACTAAAGTCTTCCTCCAGTGTGAATTTTCTTATGTCTAACAAGATGGGCTCTTCTGACATAAGTTTTCCCACATTCAGTGCACTTGTGAGGCCTTTCTCCATCATGAACACTCTGGTAATCAAGAAACCTACTTTTCTTGCTAAAAGTTTCCTCATATCCACTGCCTCTGTAATACTCCCTCCAACATAAGAGGCTTGCCAGCACTCGGAGTTTATGAGTAAGTTCCCTTCGTTGGGCATGGTCTCATGCTGGAGTAGATCTGAGTTTTCCCACCCTCTTCACATATGAAAGGAATCTCTAGCATAGGGACCCTGTAGTTCTGAATATAGGAGTCCCATTCCTAATCACCACTGAAGTCTTTCCTTCCATTGTGCTGATGTTGGGGGATGCTTATACCAAAGGAGAACTGTCTTCCACATGCCCCACATGTATGCAGTTTGTGCCTGGAATGTAGTCCCTGTTGCTCAGCCTGCAGAAAGATACGTTTCATGACTGAGGCACACATCCCACAAGGGTAGGTTTTCTGGACAACTGGATCAGCTGTGGGAGTCTTGATCTTTGATCGTCCTTGATAAAGTGCCTCCTCAGCCTCCACTTGAAACCAAAAACCTGAAAGCAGAAAATATTGACATACATGGAAACATCAGTGGGAGGAAATGGCCCTATTAAAAACGCCAGTTTTGCCAGGTGTGGTGGCACAAGGCCTTAGTCTCAGCATTTGGGAGGCAGAAGCAGCCTGGTCCACATGGCAAGTGCCAGACCAGCTGGGTCTACAAGGAGACCCTGTCTCAAAAAGACCAAAAAAATTGGGACTGGAGAGATGGCTCAGCAGTTAAGAACACTGACTGCTCTTGCAGAGGACCTGGGTTCGAATCCCAGCACCTACATGTCAGCTAACAACTGTCCGTAACTCCAGTTCCAGGGGATCCGACAGCCTCTTCTGACCTCCTTGGGCATTACACAACATGGGTGCATTTACCTACATGCAGGCAATACACGCATACAATAAAATTTTTAAAGTGATAAATAAAATTAAAAAAAGAAAAGAAAGCATATGATAAATAAAAAAATAAAGATGCCAGTTTTATAAATTTAAGAATTTGTACATGAGACTCTTTAGAGGCTAACAGGGCAAAAGTTATCATGAGAAAAGCCACATCATACAACAGGAAAGTTCAGAGTAGGGCAAGGATACAGTGACGGGCTGCATCTCAGGGAGGAAGAGGCCGCCTCTGACTCATTTTCTGCACATGGTTTTCAACAGGGCTTGTCTGCTGGTGACACGTAAGCACTGAAGGAAGAGTCAAGAAAACTACAACTGAGAACCTGTCCAAAGACTATTTAGGTAGTGCACATCTCATAGCATATTATGAATAGTTCATTAAGAGAGAACACTGCAGAGATCAAGGAGGTTTGGTTAGCCAGGCCAAAATCAGAAAAGGGATGTCAGGTCAACAAAACATGAAGACTGGAGCTGAAGGAATGAAATAAGTCATTACCCCTGTTCTTGTAAGAAAAACACTAGTGGGCACTGAGGAGCTTCCTGGTGCCATTACAACCCAGCCCTGACATGTAGCCATCTCTCATTCCTCTCTTACCAGAGCCAGTTCCCCTCCAGGGCTGTCTTGCTATAGCAGGTGTCGTGCCTGCCTTGTTGGGCACCCAAACTTGTTCTTCCAGTTCAAGATGGACAAGTACATGAATCCTGGAGGGTACAAGTCCTAAGGAGAAGACAATGCAGGTGAGTGGACAGCAACAGCACAGGGCGACCCTCTCCTCAACAGCCCATAAGAAAGGAAACTAGTAATAAGAAGAGTCTTAGGCCGGGCGTGGTGGCACATGCCTTTAATCCCAGCACTTGGGAGGCAGAGGCAGGGGAATCTCTGTGAGTTCAAGGCTAGATTGTCTACTGGGGCTACAGAGAGACCCAGTCCCAAAAAGGCCAAAAAAAAAGTCTTAGAGGGGCTGAGGATGAAGCTCAGTAGTAAAGTGTCTATCATGTGCATCAAACCTACTCCTGAAAAAAAGATGTTACATGGATAGCTCAGGGATCTCTGAAATCAGGCCAGAGGCAATGTCAGTAGGAAGGATTGGGCAGAATCTGAGAACAAGGAGCAGTTCTAGTCAATGCTTCTGTCATGGTGAAGATGTGCTTGGTAGAATCCCTGGGTTCATTGGAAGATCCCTACCACCCTATTGTTCCCTGGCAGACTTCTGGGCCCCAGGGCGAGGGGCTGCACAGGGAGAGGATGAGAGTACTCCGCCTACCTGTCAACCACAGCATCTATGCAAGAAAATCAAGAAGGCAGAATCTACGGGCAACTGTAGGAAGCAGCGCAGCTTCTGGAAAAAAGAGAAAGAGCCTAGCCCAGGAGGTAAGGGAAAATATAAGAAACATACCCAGCGAGGCCACATGAGCAAAGTTCTCCAGCCTCACATCGTGATACAGAAGTCTCTGTGTCTTATCTAGAAGTTTCCACTCCTCCAGGAAAAGTATACAGTTACATCCTCAAAGATCAAACTGTCCTACAATGATAAGAAAATAGTGTCAATAAGCAGGCTCTCCACCTTCAGTCTATACATAGTGTCTCTAAGCAGGTGCCAGCTCCTCCTATAGCCTAGCTTACCTCACAGGAGAAATCAAGGCTGAGGCCACAGCTGCTCCCTCATCCTGCCTCTACTGGTCACTGTGTGACCTGTACATAAAGGCCGCCTCCCAACTCCTACCAGCTAATTCCCCGAGTCTTGCCCTCCTCCCCCAAAAATCTGTTTCCCCGTACCCAGGATTGCCCTTTTCTCTTGGTCCTGGGAACACAGTTTACATTTCTCTCCCAGGCAATCACTGTAGATCAGCTCTCCCCTATTTCTCATCTCCCAAGTTATAGCAATCCTTGGCCCCCACCAAAGGCATTCTCCTGATCTCAATGCATTCCACTCTGCACATGAAATTCAGAGTACTTGGGACATGTAACCATGAATGCCATCCTGTGTGAAATCCTCTCTGATTCACAATACCAGGGAAGCTCCTAACCCTGCTTTGCCCTGTTCCTTGCTTCAACCTCAGCCACCTAGAACTACTTACAGCTACCAGATACCTAAGTCTTTTCCAACTCTGTGTTGCATAGGCTATCCCCCCAACCCACCACAGCCACCATTCCTTGTCTCTTAAATCCCAGCTTTACTGGTCCTGCCCCCTTCACTAACCCTCTCATTTAACCATTAGCTTATCCACCAGCCTGACAAGATCTCCAGACTCTACCAAGGGTTGCCACAAACAACTGGAGGGGCTGGAGAGATGGCTCAGTGGCTAAGAGAACTGGCTGCTCTTTCAGAGGACCTGGGTTCAATTCCCAGCACCCACATGGAGGCTAACAACTATCCGTAACTCCAGTTCCAGGGGATCCAATGCCCTCTTCTCACCTCCGAGGGTACTGCATGACATGGGTGCACTTACATACATGCAGGCAAAACACTCATACATATAAAATAAAAATGTTTAAGTTACTGGAGAGTCTATGAATCAGAACAGGCCCAGGCCCCTGCATCACTGTCAATTCATCTGCACTACTCTACTTCCACACCTGTCTCACAGTAAGCATCCCTTGGAAGCCTAGGACCCCTAACAAACCCAGTTCTAAACCCACAAACGTGACTTAACCTTACCTTAGCGACACCAATTGTAGTCAAAGGCACAAAAGACCCTATCCCAGTATTTCTAATCTGGTCCCCCTCCTCATTGCTCACAATAATATTGCTACCATGCCCTGAATTCTTTCCTTTCCTAAATGTAACTAATCTCTATTCCTACCCTCATACAGGTCATCTAAATGTGTCTCCAATTGGAACCCATGTCCCAACCCCCAGATCTGTGTCAGGCTGTGTGCTCAAGGACTCCACAGAGTTCTGCGGAATGCATCAGACTCAACATGGCCAAAACCTAATTCCTAACATTCCTTCCAAAAATTATCCAATAACTGACCTCCCTCTGTCTGTTGATGGCATTTCCTTCCTTCCAGCTACAAAGGTCAAAAACCTCAAGATCCTTGACTCTTTTCCTTCTCTCTCGACTTCCATATTAGAACATTCAGTTGGCCAACTATGCTGGATAGCTTTAATGTCAACTTGACACACCTGGGTTGAGGGAGCCTCAATTGGGGAATTGCCTTCATTGGACTGGCCTGTAGCCATGTCCATGGGGCACCTGCTTGATGAGTGATGTGGGAGGGCCTAGCCCACTGTGGGTAGTGCCACCCCTGGGCAGGTGGGCCCATGTTGTATAAGGAAGCAGGCTAAGCAGGGGCCAGGGGAGCAAGCCAGTGAGCAGTGATTCTCCATGGCCTGTGCTCTAGCTCCTGCCTCCAGGTTCCTGCCCTGAGTTCCTACCTTGGGCTCCCGGATGAACTGTGAGCCAGGATATGTAAGATAAATAAACCCTTTCCTCCCCAAGTTGGTAGTGGTCAGAGTGTTTTATCATAGCAATGGAGAGACAAACTAGGACACCAACCCTGGAAACAAGTCCAGAAGCCATATTCTCCTATGCCTGAAATCCCAGTGGTGATCCAGCCATAATCCAGGACTGGCCTTCATGAATATTCTTCTAGAAGCTTCTCTCTTGCTCCAATCACCTGTTCTCCACTCTGAAGCCAGAGTATGTAACTTACCACCTGATTCTGATGACTTCCCTACTCAACCCCAAAACGTCCATGGTCACCAATGCCCCAGAATAAAGGCTCAGTTCCTCAGCTGCCAGTCTAGGCCAGAATCCTACATCCCAGTTCTCTGGTCCTGCAAGACATGATACTGGACTGGCAGCTCAGCCTCACCTCAGTATTTGCGCATATAAATTCCAGTGCTTGTAATACTTTTTACAAGACATGCTATTGGTGGCCAGACACTGGGATGTGTCCATATAACCCCTGCTCCAGATTCAGTACCCTATGTCTAAATAGACCCCAGATCTGTCAGAGTTGAAGGTCTATAGTCCTTGGAAACATTCTAGTTATCTAAGAGTGGGATGTGGGCAGGTGGGGGGCCTCAGATACCCTCTACTCATTTGTGCATGGCTCCTACATGCCTCTGAAGCCATGAAAACCTGTGGAAAGAGACTGTGAGAGGGCCCCCCATGGGGCAGTTCAAAAACCTCATGTACCCCCATCTCTGCCTGGTAGCGTGGTCACCTAACTTCTGGGCTTCAGTCCTTTTTTTAAAAAATAAATAATTTATTGAGAATTTCACTCATGCATATAAGGTGTTTTGATTATATCCATGCCCACTCCCTCCCCTCCAACCCCTCCCATATCTCCCCATCACTTTTTTCTGATAACTCCATGTGCTCTTTCTTATTTTTTTTTTATTGGACTTTTGGCTACTTTTAACAGTCCCCCCTCTGAAGAGGTATCCTGAAAATCTTTTAAGGATTAGATACAAGCTCCCAAATACTTTCAGCATTTTTGGCCTTTGGAACAGAGTATGTTGCTAAGAGGACCAAGGACATTTTGACTTTTAGCTAAGAAACTGGCTACTTTTCTTTGGGGTCTTTTTACCCTAACTGCCTAGCCAATTCCTACCTCCTCTGAAGAGGTTACCCAAATTGCCAATAGGGAACTGGGACTCAGACCACTCTGGCTTCTTCCATACTAAACAGGAACACAGGGTGAGGCAATTGGAGTACCCCTTCAGTAGGTCTGTCTAAAAAACTCCCAAATTGCATAACTCTTACCTTTAGGGGGAAAAGAAAGTCCTTGAATCATGACTAGGAGATGTGAAGAAGTAAAGGCAAGAGTAATTAGCATTACAAGTTCTAGACAGGGAACTAGAAAAAAGTCAGAAC